AAAATAACAGCTCTTTACTAAATGCATATGAAAGTATATAGGTACGGTACTTATAACAAAAACACGATTTTTAACATTTTTATCTGTCTGTTTGTTCCGGCTAATCTCCGAAACGGCTGGACCGATTTTGACGGGACTTTCATTGGTAGATAGCTTATGTCATAAGGAGTAACTTAGGCTACTTATATATTACAAAAATAATTAGTTTTCCGCGCAACAAAATTAAAACCCAAAATAACACGCGGGCGAAGTCGCGGGGAACAGCTAGTCTATACATATAAATACAATTGAAGTGTTTGTCTGTTAAATCGAAATAACCGCCTTTTATTTAGCTGTGGGTGTTATTTGCATGTCATTAAGATATAAATAACCATTTGTAAAACTTTGGTCTATTTATTTGTCCGGGCAGGGTCAGGCGAAACCAAGGTTTTTTTATAGGATGTGAATGACAAGCCAGCACACAGTCCACCTGATAGTAAGTGGATGCTGTGGCCCATAGAAACCTACATCTCATCCTCGATTGCGAATCAAAATGCAGATGCGTTGTCACACGTGAGGACTGAGATGGAATGCCTCGTTTTCAGTAAAAAACGAGGCATTCCATCTCTCTCTACACTCACCATACGAAACAGCAGCTTTGAACGGCTATTTCACGCTGGTATTCTGCGAGAGCGTAGACCATCCCGAGCCGAACCATTCGTGCTACAACCATAATACAACTGAAGCGTGGCTCTACCACTACCACGTAATATAAATTATACACACATTGCAACTGTCCTTGGCAGCGTGCCAGTCGCCATAGCATATCTGCGTGGTGCTATTATACCCGTCCTTCATGTGCCGCATTCCTGGAGTACCTGGTGCGTAGAATCTGTAGCATTCCTTGTCAGAGAACTTCTGGAGAGTAACCTGAAAAGATCGCATGCTTAGTCTAGAGCTAAATGTTGGTGAAAACAATAGCGTCAAATAAAAATCAATTTCTAATTAATATCTAAATAATTAATAAATGAATTATACTAGAATTATTTTGTGCGTGCAGTTTGGGTCATAAATCATCTGAGTATATCGCTCTCTCTCCGACTCACGGGCCTTAGGGGCAAGCATAGTGATGCGCATTATTGTTGTCGATAAGCGTTATCGATAGTGTGTTTAGTTTCATCATTATGTGTATGTATCAAGTTATATTAAAAATAAATATAAATATAAAGATAAAAACTTATATCTAAAATTAAATTTGTTGTTATCGATAATGGCGTTGCGCCCGCGCAACATGCTCACCGCCCTAGCCGGGCTGAGGCCGAGCTGCGATTTATGACCCCAACTGCACGCACAAAATAATTTTACTATAGTAATTTTAAGCTGCATGTAGCCGTGGTTAACTATGACATTGGGATGTCGAACACCTCAGCACATCGTAATTCCGGGTGCTATAAAGTACTCGAAACTTCAGGAATATAAAATAGTTTAATATACGCAATAAAATACCTAAAACTTAGTTTCATTTAAAATGGCGCTATTAGTTTTGAAGAAATATTAGAAGCTTATATTAATCATCATCCTTACAGTTCATTAAAAGTTCAACGAACATAGGCCTTCTCCTAGGAATGCCGAAAATCAAATTCCTGAGTCCATAGTTACCACACTTGGCAGCAGCTGTTTTATCATTATTGTGGGGTGTTATTAGGGAGACGCTGCTGCCCTTCGTTTGTTTTAGTTTCTCTTCGAGATACTGTACGGAACGCCACACAAGGATTTTCTCCCGGGTCGCGGAGGCAGTTCACATACATAGAATTGCACGAGGACAAACATCCAGATCCAGAACAATTATGTGTAGGCTATACAAATACTTGTTCCGTGCGGGATTCGAAACCGCGGCCCTTAGCGCTGCAACTCATTGCTGAGCCAATGCGCTACGAGGCCGTCAATATAACTCCAGCATGGCTTTATCACTTACAATTTTTTTACACGCATGGTTTTATTACCTCAAACTGACACTCGCTTCGGCAAAGCGGTGTCTTTGACAATACTTCTACTCCCCGACCATATGCGACCATACCATGCTGTAGCTAATTGTTTTCATATTTAAATATAGAACGAGTTTATTGCTTGTTCTATCCAGGACAGAGGATTTTATTCCAAATCAGTGGTAAAAACTGTTCCTGAGAACTACACTGGAATGTCTAACAGCGTGTAACTGACTCTCTGAGCCTTTGTTTTATTTTCAACAGTTTTCAAAAATAGGAGGAGGTTCTCAATTCGACTGTATTTTTTATGTATGTTACCTCAGAACTTTTTTTCTAGGTGAACCGATTTGGATGATTCTTTTTTGACAGCTTGTCATGTTGTCCCATTTAAATTTGATCTAGATCTGACCAGTAGTTTTTGAGTTATCCTTAATGGTGCGTATTTAATTGACTTCGACTATTATTACTTAATTTAGACGTGGTAGAGCCATGCTGCAGCTATATTAGTAGTATAGTTGTAGCACGAATGGCTCGACCGGGGAAGGACCACGCTCTCACAGAATACCAGCGTAAAATAGCAAATTAACACTGCTGTGTTTCGTATGGTGAGTGTAGAGAACCGGAGACCCATTTTACTGGAAAAGAGGCATTCTATCTTAGTCCTCACGGGTGACAACGCATCTGCATTTTGATTCGCAAACGAGGATAAATGTAGATGTCTATGGGCCTCATCAACCACCTACCATCAGGTGGACTGTGTGCTACACTGTGAACTATATTGATGATTTAAATAAAACTAATTTTACGGATTTTATCGCGTATATTAACTTATTTTACATTCCCGACGTTTCAACACTTTATAGCACCCATGGTCACGGGGGGGACTGAGGTGTATGACGTCCCAATGTCATAGTTAACCACGGCTACCTCCAGATTAAAAATTATTGATTTTTGTTACGATCTACGCAGTATGAACTTACAGTATCATGAAGTCTTGTAGTTGTATGCTTGGGTTGGGATTTAATTTTATTAATTATGGGATCCCAAGCAGACGGTAGCACCCAGCCATCTTCTCTATTGAAATTAGGATGTTTTTTGATTTCAATAGCCTCGCGAATCATCCTTGGAAGGAATCGGTGTTCTTTAGCGAGGATTTGTGGTCTATCAAATCTAATGTAGTGACGGGGGCGATCCTGTACATGCAGACTACATGGACTGCAGACTTCCCGGAGCGTCTATTCTTCACATCAGCTATGTGTTCTTTAACGCAGGTTTTTATCGATCTTTTAGTTTGTCCTATATAAGAGAGACCACATTCACAATCCAGCTTGTACACTCCTGCATCTTGCAGAGGAATATTACACTTGACTGATGGTAAAAACTGACTAATCTTCTTCGGCGGCTTGAAATATGTTTTAATGGAAGCACGCTTCAAGATATAGCCAAACTTGTCAGTGACATCTCTGACATATGGCAGTACAGCAGGCACTCGCTCGACTGTGGCTGGCTTCACTCGTTCACTGTGACGTAGGCGCGGGACCCGAAGCTTATTGTCGTGCAAAACTTGCTTGACGTGTTGGAGCTCGGCGGCCAGGTGTTTACTGTCACAGATCCCTCGTGCTCTCTGAAACAAAGATTTACCCACGGTAGCTAACTGTGAAGGATGGTGGTGAGAATTACCGTTTAAATATCTATCTGTATGGGTGTTTTTTCTATACAACAAGAAATCTGACTTAATTTACTTAATCAACACTTACAATCCTTCAATCCTTGCAATTGCGGAAACCTGGCTCAAGCCAGGCTCTACGTTCTTGATCCCAGGCTTCTCCTGTTATCGTAGTGATCGGAATGATGGTTATGGTGGCACTATGATACTACTAAACAGGACCATTCCTTCCAGTCCTGTCCTTCTTCCTCAAGTACAAGATAACATTAATGCCGTAGCCATTAAAGCTATGGATATAACCATTGTCTCAATTTATGTATCATCCCCCACTCCCTCATGTATCCCTGAAATAAACTTGATCCTATCTAGCATTTCCCCTCCCTACATTATTCTTGGCGACTTTAATAGCCATCACGTAATGTGGGGCTCCCATAAATCGGACTGTTTTTCATACTTACTGCTTGATGTTTTTAATGAATTCAATCTTTGTCTTCTAAATGATGGTTCTCCTACCAGAATGTGTTATCCCTCCCATAATCCTAGATCTGTAGTTGATCTATCATTATGCTCTCCATCCCTGGCTGCCAGTATGTCATTTCAAACACTACCTTCTTGTTTTGGAAGTGACCATTATCCCATCCTGTTAAACCTGTCCAATCGATGTACTCCTCCCAGAAATACAGCTCCTCTTTTAAAATTCAATTTGTCGGATGCCAACTGGGAAGGATTTGCCACAGAATCAGAATGTAGTATTCAGAACTTTCCTACTGTTACATCCCAAAACCTACATTCTGTATATAATCAGTTCATAGCAATATTAAATACTTCAGCCTGCAAAATTTTTCCATTGAAAAACACATCCCCTAAGAAATTATCTTCACCTCCATGGTGGGATTCTGAATGCTCCTCGATCATCAGAAAACGCAAGGCAGCGGAAAGGTTATATTCCTCAAATATGTCAATGGAAAATTTCTTAAGTTACCAAAAAATTGCCGCTGAATCCAAAAAACTTCTTTCGGAAAAGAAAAAAAAAGGGATGGCTTTCATTTTGTGAGAGTCTATCCCCTCGATCTCCTTCTTCCTTAGTTTGGAAAAATATCAGAAGTTTTCGCGGAGCTTTAAATGTCAATAATTCCTCCTGTGCAGATCCTTCAGAATGGCTAAACGACTTCTGTTGCAGACTGGCTCCTCCATGGGTTCCTATGGAGGAAGAGATATTTCCAACTGCAAAACGTTTCCCCTCCCACTCTCCCAGCATCCCAAATAACCTTAATGAACCATTCTCTTTAGAAGAATTAAAGTTAGTGCTCAGCCACCTCAAGGACTCCTCACCTGGCATTGACGGTATTCCCTATTCATTTATTGTTAATATGGGCTCTTCATGTCAACAGATCTTTCTTAACATCATTAATCAGGTTTTTACGACAGGTCCTATCCCAGATGACTGGAAAACCCATATTATTATACCCATTTTAAAGCCTGGAAAAGACCCCTCTTCAGCATTAAATTACCGCCCTATTGCTATCTCATCAACCTTATCTAAAGTCATGGAACATCTCGTAAAGAATCGACTGGAGTGGATATTAGAAAACAGGGGCATTCTGTCAAGGACTCAATTTGGTTTTAGAAAAGGTTTTAGCACAATGGATAGCCTTAGTATCTTAGTATCAGACATAAGACTTGCTTTTTCTAACAATGAGTATCTTGTAGGCGTCTTTGTGGATGTTCGTTCGGCCTACGATGATGTTATTCTTCCGCTGCTCAGGCAGAAAATGCAACAGCTGAACATCCCGGAGAGAATCACAAATTTCGTGTCAAACCTGCTTTCGCAGAGGCGCATATTAGTTCGCTCTGAAGGCAAGCTCACATCACCTAGACCTGTCTGGAAGGGATTACCTCAAGGCTCAGTTCTGAGCCCCTTGTTATACAGCCTTTATACATATGAACTTGATAGATCTGTAAACTACTTAGCTAATGTCCTACATAATGCTGATGACTTAGTCTTATATGCATCCGACATTTCCTTTGACCAAGCAATCTCCCGTCTATCCCAAGCAGTTAAATTCCTCAACTTTTGGCTTATAGAACATGGTTTGTCCATTTCAGCTAGTAAGAGTAACTCAGTAGTATTTACTAGACGAAGGTTCTCCCCAGATGTGCCTATCCATATTGATGACTCTCTTATACCTTCTCAGACTCAAGTGAAATTTTTAGGAGTATTTCTAGACAGTAAAATGACAGGTATCCCACATTTATCCTATGTAGCTGCTAAATGTGAAAAAAATTTAAATGTCATCCGATCTCTATCACGCTCCTGGCTCCCATCCTTATTCCCAAAAGCTTTTATATAATGCATTAATAAGAAGCCATTTCGACTATGGTTGTTTTTTACTGGAGCCATGTAGTAAAATGGCACTTAACATACTGGACAAAATCCAGTCAAAATGTCTCAGAATCATAACAGGAGCAATGAAATCTACTCCTATCCTCGCTCTCCAAGTGGAATGTGTCGAGCCTCCTCTTTTTCTCCGAAGACAGTATTTATCAGACAGATTTTTATTTAAAGCTGCCTGTTATTCGCACCATCCTCTCCTATCCAAACTACATTCCCTTAACCAGTTAGTCAAGCGATCCCAATATTGGTCACATAAGGATTTGCCATGCATTATAAAAAGCTATTCCAAACTTGTCAATCTTCCTTCTCCAATCTCCAAGTCACTTAGGAACCCTCTCTACAATATTCCCTATGAGGCCCTAATATATAAGCCAGACATATTTTTAAATATTGGCATTTATAAGGACAGCACTGAACCAAATATTAAATTAAACATGATTCTAGCTGAAAAGTGGGTTGACTGGGTGATTATGTTCACAGATGCCTCAAAGGTCAGCGAAAAAGGTTTAGTAGGATCCGCAGTGTGGATACCTAAATATAAAATTATTTTAAATTTTAATTCCCCTTCTGACTCTTCTGTATTCACAGGTGAGTCATTGGCTATATTAGAGGCAGTTTTGTATGCTGAATCTCACAGCCTGAAAAAAACTCATATTATCAGATTCCCTTAGCTGCTTACAAAGTATTGCTTCCAGCCCATTTCAATTAAAAGTAAAATATCCATTAATTTTAAATATCAGAGAGTCTCTATTCAAATGTCATAAAAAGGGACTAAGGATTGTCTTGGCGTGGATACCTGCTCACTGTGGGATTCAGGGCAACGAGGTTGCTGATCGGATAGCTAAGGAAGCAGCTAAATCTGGATTACTACCCAAACACAATATTTACTCATATGACCTCCTGTCGAAGGCTAACTTAAGTTTACACTCCTCATGGCAAACCATTTGGCATCAGTCAAAACTTATAAAATGTAAAAATTATGCTAATGTCCAAAATAATATCCCCCTAAAACCTTGGTTCTTTAAAACCCGTCACTTTAGTAAAGTGATTACCTCAACTGTTTGTCGTCTCCGATTCGGTCACACCTGCACACCTGTACACCTAGCTAAATTAAGGATTAGGGATACGTCAATGTGTGAATGTGGGTTAGGCGAAGGAACAGTTAACCACCTGTTTTTTGAGTGCCCCAAGGTCTCCTTCTCCTTTTATGATATACTCCCTAACTACATCCCTCGTCCTACTAATTTCTCATACTTACTGTCCCTTGTGTTTACTCCCTTTGTAAATATTTTGTGTGATTATATTAGAACTAATAAAATTAAGTTGTAAGATTACTAACATGGTGATGGTTATAAACTTGTGGCGTCTTTTGTTGTAGATTGTGAAGACCTACACAAACAATAATAACTTGTAACTATTGTAAACACTCTCTTGTCACTCCCATGACTGACTTGACATTGGCAGAATTCTAAAAAGAGGGGCCATTAAACTAAGAAAGAAGAAGAATTAGAGTATTATCGAAAGGTCTTAATCATAGATAATATACTATATAGGGTAGTCTTAATTTTGCTATAACACCAAAAAAATTACCGTACGAACAAATTATCTGTAGTGTCGAGGACTGTTTATTTAAAAACAATATGCAAAAGGAGGATTTGGAAGCGATACGTCAAGACATTTCGTCTATGTTACGTCGAAGTTCAGCGCCAAAACCGAATCTACCTAAAGACGAATTCAAAGCGTTGACTAACCTACGCAATAAACCAGAACTCACGATTCTCCGCGCAGATAAGGGAAATGCCACGGTAGTCATGGATACGTCGGATTATAATTCTAAAATACAAGAACTTTTGTCGGATGCAAGTACGTATAAAAAGGTTAAAAATGACCCAACAAATAACACACTTAAAACAACTAGTGATCTCATAAAGAAACACTCCGAAAAATTAAATCTAGACGTAAAATCGATAATACCTACGTGTGCTAAACCACCGAAGTTGTATGGGTTACCAAAAATACACAAGCCCAATGCTCCACTACGTCCTATAGTGAGCCAAATCGATTCACCAACTTACAGATTGGCTCAACACTTAGCGAATGTACTCTCACCGTTCAAGGGACATACAAGAGCACACACAAAGGATTCCTACCATTTTGTCAGCAAGATTAAAGACCTACATCTGGCAGACAATGAAACTATGGTGAGTTTTGATGTGCAGTCTCTGTTCACATGCCTACCTGTTGAAGACTGCATCTCGATTTCTACTAGAAGGCTAGAGGAAAACAACATGCCCGTAGAATATGCAGTATTACTCAGACACTGCCTTACATCTGGCTACCTATTGTGGAAGGAGGAGTTCTACAAGCAAGTAGATGGAGTGGCGATGGGCTCACCTGTATCTCCCATTGTTGCAGATATATTCATGGAGGACTTTGAGGAGAAAGCCCTGCTTACTTCTCCCGTAAACCCAAGATTCTACAAGCGGTACGTAGACGACACTTTCACAATTCTACCTTTAGATAAAGTAACTGCATTTTTAGACCATCTTAACTCCTTAAATTCTAAAATTCAGTTCACAATGGAGTTAGAGGCAAACAATTCTTTAGCTTTTCTAGATGTGTTAGTAATTCGGAATCCTGATAACACCTTGAGCCACACTGTGTATAGAAAAAAGACCCATACAGATATATATACATATTTAAATGGTGATTCTCACCACCATCCTTCACAGTTAGCTACCGTGGGTAAATCTTTGTTTCAGAGAGCACGAGGGATCTGTGACAGTAAACACCTGGCCGCCGAGCTCCAACACGTCAAGCAAGTTTTGCACGACAATAAGCTTCGGGTCCCGCGCCTACGTCACAGTGAACGAGTGAAGCCAGCCACAGTCGAGCGAGTGCCTGCTGTACTGCCATATGTCAGAGATGTCACTGACAAGTTTGGCTATATCTTGAAGCGTGCTTCCATTAAAACATATTTCAAGCCGCCGAAGAAGATTAGTCAGTTTTTACCATCAGTCAAGTGTAATATTCCTCTGCAAGATGCAGGAGTGTACAAGCTGGATTGTGAATGTGGTCGCTCTTATATAGGACAAACTAAAAGATAGATAAAAACCTGCGTTAAAGAACACATAGCTGATGTGAAGAATAGACGCTCCGGGAAGTCTGCAGTCTGTGAACATGTACAGGATCGCCCCCGTCACTACATTAGATTTGATAGACCACAAATCCTCGCTAAAGAACACCGATTCCTTCCAAGGATGATTCGCGAGGCTATTGAAATCAAAAAACATCCTAATTTCAATAGAGAAGATGGCTGGGTGCTACCATCTGCTTGGGATCCCATAATTAATAAAATTAAATCCCAACCCAAGCATACAACTGCAAGACTTCATGATACTGTAAGTTCATACTGCGTAGATCGGAACAAAAATCAATAATTTTTAATCTGGAGGTAGCCGTGGTTAACTATGACATTGGGACGTCATACACCTCAGTCCCCCCCGTGACCATGGGTGGGGGAGCGTGCTCGGATGGTGTGAGGTGTACAAGTGTCGTTCTGTTTTAGGCTATTTCGTACTTCTGAGAGCTGTTGATTTACTTTTTTGTTTACTATTTCTGGTGGTGTTGGTTTTAGTAGTTATAAATCCGTAAGTATTTAGTAATTGTGTTGTTGTATATATATGTAAGTAGTTAAAATAAAATGGAGGAAGATCCTCCCGATCCCGACGGGGTTACATGTGACTCCCATGCGGGTACCAAAAAGAAAAATATGCCTATCGAGATCGATCAGTCGAATCGTAAAAGATCGCAAGCAACCAATAACTCAGTTCATCCACAGAAAAGATTAATTACAGATCCATCTCAACCTGTACCATCTATTCAGACCTCTTATACTCATCCTGACTACATTGAAAAAAAACATAAATACTCTAATAACGACAGTGCGCCCTTTATTGTACATGTAAGTAAGATAGTAGATGATTTATCATCTGGAGTAGTTTTAAAACCGATAAAGTTTGGTCATTTTCTCTACCATAATAATATTAAAAATGTTGTTAGCGACGGTGTTAAGCGAGTAGGGCGCAATAGAATCTCAGTCGAATTTAAAAGTGCAGCAGATGCAAATTGCTTTATTGAGAACCCAGCCCTTGCAGGTGCTAAATATGATGCTGTAATCCCTTCTTATAGTATCACTCGCATGGGAATAGTGAGGCAGGTCCCTGTAGAATGGACATTAGAGGAACTCATTTCATCAATCGAGGTCCCAGCTGGTTTTGGCTCAATCATTAAAGCTCGCCGATTTAATAGAAAATCACTTAATGAAAACCAAAGCACTGTGTGGATTCCCTCTCAAACAGTCCTTTTAACTTTTTCCGGCCAGAAACTCCCTTCTAATATTTATTGTTTTTACAACTCAATGCCCGTTGAGCCCTACATTTTACCACTTATTCAATGTCACAAATGTTGCCGTTTTGGACATGTTACCTCACAGTGTAGATCATCTTCCCGTTGTTTTGTGTGTGCTCAAAATCATGAGGGTATATCATGCACAAGACAGTCTCCCACTTGCCTTTTTTGTTCAGGATCTCACACAGCTAAAGATCCCTCCTGCCCTGAACACTCTAGGCAGCGATCTATCAAACTCACAATGTCACAGGAAAATATTTCCTATCTAGAAGCATCTGCTCGTTTCCCTCAAGTCCGTAGATCCTATGCAGATACTGCTAGAACCCTTCCTTCATATGAGCATCAGACTTCCTGTCCTATTTCAAACCCTTCTTTACCTTCAGTTGTCCCCTCACAATCTCATTCTTACAGGAAGACTACATTCACTTTTTTTTTTTTTTTTTTTTTTTTTTTATAGGATAAGGGTGACAAACGAGCACACAGTCCACCTGATGGTAAGTGGTTGCTGTGGCCCATAGACATCTACATCTATCTTCGATTACGAAT